TGCCAATCACACATGTAACAAGGTGGACAGTGGCTTAACCTGATATGTCCCTGGGCTCATTGGGTGAGTAACCCAAGACCAGTATTGGGGGCAGGCAGACAGGAGTCAACTGCCCTTTGAGTGAGGAGAACAATAGAACTTGTTTGTTATTAGAGGTTGATAGGCTTTGGTGCATAGTGAGCAGCCAGGTACTTTTAACAGGCATCTTGAAAGTAGCACTATTATGGAGGGGTGTTGTGCGGATGATTTTTAGGGTGGAGTATGTGACTGGAAGTCATCTGTAACTCACCAATGTGAAGGCCTTCCTTCACCAGTGTCAGCCTACCAGACTCTTAATCATGAACATAGAGAATTTAGCCATATACAATCTCTTCCCAGTCCCCCGTTTCCCACAAGAGAGTAGTGACTGGGGTCTTAAGAGGCATGTTTTCAAACAAGTAGCTATCTAAATGAGATATCAGCTAAGCCCACAAGGAAGAAGCTCACCAACATCTATGATCCAAGGATTGGAAAAGACATAATCCAACTCTGAAGGAGGGAATAGTATAAGGACTTAAACAGTGAAATTCTAGTTTGCAGAAGGCTGTATATGCAGGGTAAGCCCAAACTATATTCACAGGATCTACACATGGAATAAGCCTCCAGTGATTCCTCTCTGACCATAAGTGAGGCATGGGAATAACTTGGTTATTAGGCAGAGAGTATTAGGGAGATGACTATACTAGATTAAAATGATAAATTTAACTTGAATAGTTAAAACCTTCTCACTTAATCTCCCTTTTGGTGCATTTTGAGCTTGATCTGGTTTTTACTGTTTGCTTATTTGTTTGCTTATCTAGATTGGGTCTTTGCTATATTTTGTTATTGGTGGTAGTGTTTTTGACTTTCTGTTATGTTTCTTTCTATTTTCTTTGGTATATGAAACCCAGCTTGGGTGACTGTAGAGATAATAACTACAGTAAGGGTTGCTGGAGGAGGGCAATGGGGAGCCAATGTCAAGGAGTACAAGAAAGAAGAAAATGATTGTGGTAGTGATTATACCTCACTGCTTGATAAGACTGAACTATTGAATGGTATGATGTCTGGATCATGTACTAATAGAGTGATTTGGAAAGAAAGAAAGTCAACTGAATCCAAGAGGGGAGTGGTTGAGTACTTCAATGTTTGTTGTAATGTGCATCATATTTACAGTATAACTGTGTTCCCCTCTTTCTATGAACCGATAGAAAGAGAAAAGACAAATTTCAAGCCAACTTTAGTGGGAATTTAAAGTTTCAAGGCATGCATTTTAAAGTCTAAACTTCACTGATGAAACATAACATTCCTCTAGTTCTTTAATGCTTCTTCTCTCCCCCACTATCATGACTCCAGTTCTACCTTAAAAATCCGGCTAGACCAGAGCATGTACACTGGTACAGATACAAGCTCTCGACACACAGAATCCAGGGCAGATAGACTCCTCCGGACCAATAATGAGAGTAGTGATACCATGAGAGTAGGGGTGGGGTGGGGTGGTGGAGGTGGGATGAGAAGGGGGAAGGCAGGGACTGCTCACAGTGATTGACCTCCAACCCCCTCCCCAGGGGGATGAACAAGAGAAATGGGGTGAAGGGAAAGAATAGACAGTGTTGAATATGAAAATTAAAATAACAAATTATCAAGGGTTCACGAGGGTGGGAAGGTTGGGGAGGGAGGGGCAAAAAGAGGAGCAGATACCAAGGGCTCAAATAGAAAGAAAATGTTTTGGAAATGATGATGGCAACGTATGTACAAATGTGCTTGATACAATTGATGTATGGATTGTTATAAGAGCTGTAAGAGCCCCAATACAATGATTTATGAAAATAAATAAATACATTTGAAACTTATTCTTGTAGCATTTCAATTGTTATTTTCATGTCACCTGGAGCTTTTTTGGTATAAACCTGTTTTAAAAAAAAAAAGGAGCCTATGAATAGAGGTAGAGATCAGAAAGGTTAAACCCAAATTAATAATTTGTTGAAGGTGAATGATGAGTACCTAAATGGCTCATTATTGCCTTAGTCTAGGGCTGTAGAGATGCAAAACCAGCAAAGTATACATATAAATATAGAGAGATTTCTTTTAAAAGAAGTATTCATACAATCATGATGAAATGGCTCACCCAACCGTGGGAGCGAGCAAGCTCCGAATCTGGGTCAGATGACAGACTGGAGACGTGCTGGCCACCGGGTTGCAGGAACTGCCAAATCCCAAATCTGCAGATCAGAAGCCTGTGTGCCAGGAACGGGAGGTCAGGGGACAAGAAGAGAGAGAGAGCACAGCTGCTGTGGAGAGTGATTTGGCCAAAAAAAAAAAAATCACACCACTTTTGACCCAACTAGTCATTTATCTGACAGACAAAACTGAGCAAGCACAGAATGATACATCTGCAAGGATGTCATTGTGGGATTGTTTGGCAATCTTAAATGTTTCTCAATAGGGACTGATGAAGTAAATTTCTTCAGTAGAGCACTCTGTAACCTTGGTAGCTCTGCTGCCCGTTGTACTGATGTGGAATGATTCCAAACTGTTATTTTTAAGAGGAAAAGCCTATGTATTATGCTAGCTCATGGTGAAAATACATATAGCCACACCTACGCTTGCAAATACCTGTCCAAAGAGAATCCCTGGAAGGATAATTAAATGGCCGTGTCTCTGGATCAGCACCGGATAGCTGCCGTGCAGAAGCTGGGAAAGATTTAAAACTTCACTCTGTAGCCATGTTTACTTTCAGAACTGCGCATCATGAGATGAATTATCGTTAGTTGCATCCTCCTGCCAGGTTGTGTGTCGGCTTCGTCATCACTGGTGTGGTGGAGTCTTGGTTGTGGCTGTGTCAGTCAGCTCACGGAGGGCCATCTGTGGTCCCTGACCTCCCAGCAAACATGATGTCCTTTTCCAGCAAGTGGTCTTTCCTTAGGACTGGCCCAAAGCAAACAAGTCAGTCTCCCCAGCCTTCCTTGTTTCCTATCATGACATGCTTCTTGTAATAATATAATTTCTTTGAAAGAAAATCTCTCTGCCGTGTGGTTCGAGCCCCTCCGTTTGCGAGTGGATTAAGTGCACGCGTGGCCGAGGTTGGCTTCTGGAGCTTCTCTGCTGGCTGCGGAGAGACCCTTCTGTTGATGCTCAGTCACGTTGTAGAAACAGACGTTGTCCCTAAACAGCTGCATCCTGGTGGACAGTTACTGCAGTATATTTAACTAATGGTCACCTCTGTGTGCTATGTAGGGGCAGACATCAACTTATCATTCTAGCCGATCATACGTTTGTTTGGCCACATTTGTAAGGAGCACTGGAGAGAAAATTTGCCTAGCCCATCCCAAATCACAGAGAACTATTATAGATGATATGATGTGGGGCCAAATGTTTACTAACGTTGGCATGTGTGGACGAGTTATGCTGGATATGTGTACTCTTGACCAGTTGAAATACACTTGCTTCTCATAAAAGCCATACTGGCCACACTTCTAACTCAGTTCCATTGCTGGCCAGCCAGGAAATTAAAGGCCCGTCCATACCTTCACCTTTCTGATGTCTCCTGGTTTATCGCAAGGATGAGATGAGAAGACAATGACAACAGCAAAAACAACTGCTAGCATAAAGCCTGACTTTGACCCATGGTGGCCCCGTGTGGGCCAGAGTAGCCTCTGCCCCATGGAGTTTTCAGAGATTGATCATTCAAGAACGGATTGTCATGCCTTAAGCACCTGTAAGTGGGCTTATATTGAACACCTTTGGTTAGCAGCTGATACATGAATCCTTTGTACTATCTAGCAGTTCCCTGTAGCTAACCCAGGGGATTCTGTTGCTATACGTAAGGTCTAGGAGCTCTGCTCCACCGTGGGGACCCTGCTGGTTATTGAAGTGCTGGTGGCACAGCATCCAGCATCACAGCAACACAAACCAACACAACAACAAACTGACAGATTCAACTGCAGCAATAAACAACATGGTAAACCAAGAAAAGAATACAATTGACAAGAATTTTATTGGTTCCACAATCAGTGTTCATGGATGTAGCAGTCATGAAGTATCTGCTACACAAGATTTCTTTTAAAAAGAAGCAGATCTCTAGGTCTTTCGCCCTCTCCAAGTGATGGGTTTGAACTGCCGGCCTTTTTAGCCGGCAGCCACGTTCTTAACCACCACATCTCCAGGAAACCCAGTCGTGGCTCTGGTGTGTCGTGAGCCGGAGCTTATTAGTGGGAGAGCCTGATTTTGAACCCAGAGCTAACTCGCAAGTCTTTCCTCCCAACATCTGTGGTTTCAGAGAGTGGGTGCAATAGGGTCTCAGTGTACCTTTGTTCAGAGTGTGGGTGAAGTAGGCACCCAATATGTGTCTATACCGAGTGTGGGTGCAGTAGGGACAGACACAATATATGTCTATTCAGAGTGTGGGCACAAAAGAGACCCGGTGTCTGTGTGTTTAGAGTGGGGGCACAGTTAGGGAGCTGGTATACACCTGTTCAGAGAGTGGGCACACTGGGGACCCTGTATAAGTCTGTTCAGAGTGTGAGTGCAGAGACCCAGTATATGTCTGTTTAGAGTGTGACTGCAGAAGGGACCCTGTATACATCTGTCCAGTGTGGGCATTGTAGGGACCCTGTATATATCACTTCAGAGTGGGCGCAGTAGGGACCCTATATGTGTCTGTTCAGCGTGTGGGCACGTGGGGATCCTGTGTACATCTGCTCAGAGTGTGGGCACAGAAGGGATGCGATACATCTGTTCAGAGTGTAGATGCAGTAGGGACTCAGTATACATCTGCTCAGAGTGTGGGCACAGAAGGGGAGTGGTACATCTGTTCAGAGTGTGGTCGCAGTAAAGACCTACTAGGCATCTGTTCATTCCCCTTTTACAATAACTGGGTTATTGATGGGTGACCCAAAGTAACAACTGCTGTGTTTCATGAACAATCTTGCCAAATTTGAAACACATGTAAACACTGATAAACTGTAGTCTTAATTCTGTTTTAGACAAATGAACTGGTGTTGGGTTTGGAAGATGACGACAGACTCCTGTTACAAGAAGACAGTACGATGAGAGCAGCCGGGATAGGTGAGAACGATGATGTTATGTTTCAGTCGGGTCCCAGATTGTCCTGCCACCAACATTTCACAAGCTCCCCGCAAAGTACCATCAGTGCCATCACTGGTGCCCGTACAGTACCTCATGATTGCGCCAAGGAAGGGTCAGCAGTGTGTGACTTCCGGTTGTTTCACAGAGGGCCATTGACAGCTGCTCTCCAAATGCTCAAATACAAACCGTTCACGATGTGCGCTTGTCACTCTACTGAGGGTGACTTTACCTGATTCACATAGTGGTGCCATTTCTCCTTAATCTTACCGGTGTTATTTGAACTGAGGCTTTGAGATAAGTAGACACGGTACCACTCATGGGGGAGAAATGGCACTTAAGGTGATTTCTGATAGTCAACCAGGGATGGACAAGTTGTAGAATAAAAATGAAAGTTGAATGTGTGTGGCTGAGATTCTACAATGTAGCTCCTCATCCTGTGTGATATGCTTTGTGACCATTAGATGTCACTCTAATTCTACTTATGTGTACACTTAAAATTTAGTATTTATTTGGGCTCTAGAAAGAATGAAGCTTTTTAAGAGTGGTCTAAGCTGTTGAAGTGTTTAAGCCTTGTGTTAGTCTGGGTAAACTAGGGAAACAAATCCACAGAAACTCATATATGGATAAGACAGAGTTTTATATAAAGGATAAGTATACTTTCAGAAAGCATCCCAACCCCATCCAGTCTAAGCCCATATGTCAGACACCGATCTACAATGTCCGCCTGAAACTCACAAAACACACACAATGACGCCAAATGCAGGAGGATCACAGGCCAGTGGGTAGAACGTCTTTGAATCCAGTGGCAGTGTAAGCATCTCAGCACTGGCAGGGCTCTCCACAAGGCTTCTCCAGCAGCCAGGGCTGTATCAGGGTAAGTCCACGTGGCTTCTCCTCAGGGATGTCTCGCAGGAAGTGAGCCTTGCCAGCTCAGGCAGAGAACTAGCTAAGGCAGCCACACTCCGGTTCAACCATCAGAGAGCAAGAGACAAGAGAACTAGAAAGGTGAGGCTCACCGAGCCATTTATCTCTCCATCCTTTAGTTAATCCTACATGTGTTTATCGGCCAGGTTGGCACAATACACCTTCACTTTCTCAAGCCTGTTCTGCCATTTCATCAGTGAACATGGTGAAACTTTAGAAATCATACCTACTTCATCATTATACATAATTAGTGGTTAAGGGATACTCTTAAGTGGTTCACATTAGGAGATCTAAAATATTTTTTAAAAAAACCTTTAGTGTGAATTCAGTGAAGGTTTACAGGATAGATCATCAGTTTTACATTCAACAGTTTATAGACTTATTGTTTCAACTCATTGATTCCCCTCATTGGGTACTTGTTTATACCTCTTCTTCCCTGTATTTCCCATTTCCGTTCCTCATTGTTTCCTAGCTAACCTGACATGGAGGGAGGCTGAGGTCCTCTGCCCCTCTCTACTGGACTAGTAGGTCTCTTTGATGATTTTGAGTTTTGTTTTGCATTTTCCTCCTATTCTTTCCAGGACATTCCTACACGCTCCTACGCAGTTGGTAGTGGTAACTTGGCCTCATTTAGCTCTTCTGGTCTCAGGGCTGTTGAGACTGATGCTTGCACGGTCCATTAAACAGTTTATCTATCTATCTATCTATCTATCTATCTATCTATCTATCTATCTATCTATCTATCTATCTATCTACACCGATGCTTGCACGGTCCATTAAACAGTTTATCTATCTATCTATCTATCTATCTATCTATCTATCTATCTATCTATCTATCTATCATCTATCTATTTATCTGTCTATCTATCTATCTATCTATCTATCTATCTATCATCTATCTCATCATTCTTCTTTCTCATGGGTGGGAAGAAACCAAAAGGTGCACCTTAGATTGCTGTCCTTGAGTTTTTAAGACCACAGTTGCTACTCACCAGTGTAAGGTGTGGCACATTTTCTTTCTGAACTATGGTTTGACCATTGAACTTGGCGACCTTCAAAACTATGCTCCTGATCCCGTAGGTTCAGCAATTCATTCCCTCAAGGTGTTTGGTTATGTTTTAGAAGTTTTTATAATTTGTCCTCTGTGTGCTCTACCACATCCATGGATATATTTTTAGCAAAGCTAAATACCCATGTATAACTGTCCTCTCCCAAACTTACAGATGTTTGTGGGACTATTCCCATTCCCCTCCTGCTGGTAATTCATCCATATTGCAGGATTGGATATACAACAGTATTTGCCTCTGTTGTCTTTGACTTTTGCAAATCTCCCAGTGTCTACCCTCGCCTCCATCATATTTTGCCACCCCACTTCTTATTCTATATTACCTTCCTAGTCCTCCAAATTATAGGAGTCCTGATAGTGTAGTAGTTACACGTTGGGCTGCTAACCACAAGATCAGTAGTTCAAAACCAATAGCTACTCCTCAGGAGAAAGATGGGGCTTTCTATTCTCATAACAGTTACAGTCTCGGCAACTCACGGTGGCCATTCTATCCTGTCCTATAGGGTTGCTATGAGTGGGCCTCGACTTGGTAGTAGTGAATGTGTTTTTGGTTTTTCATCCAAATCAACACTTGTCTACCCTTTAACCCATGACTTCCCCTCCCTCCCTTTCCTTCCTACCATTGGTAACCATAAAGGAATATTTCTTATGGTATGATAACCTTTTCTTGATTTTTTAATAAAAGTGGTCTCATTGGATTGACTAATTTCATTCAGCACAATATCCTCAGGTTCATTCATTTGAATATTATGAGGTGTTTTGCAGATTGTCGTTCTTTAATGTATTCCATGTGTGTATATAAATATAGGTGTAGTATATTACAAATTGGGTTACTAACCATGATGTCAGCAGTTTGAATCCACTAGCTGCTCCACAGGAAAAAGATGAGGCTTTCTGCTACTGTAAAGATTTACATCTAGTTTTTAATGCATCCTCCCCCTCCACTATCATGACCCCAGTTTTACCTTACAAATCTGTCTAGACTGGAGCACGTACACTGGTACAGATAAGAGCTCTCGACACATGGAATCTGGGACAGATAAACCCCTCAGAAACAATAATGGGAGTAACGTTACCATGAGGGTAGGGGAAGGTGGGGGGAGAAGGGGAAGAAAGGGGGAACTGATTGCAGTGATTGATGTATAACACCCCCCACCCCCGAGGGTGATGAACAACAAAAATGTGGTTGAAGGGAGACAGTGGATGGTGTAAGGTATGAAAA